TAATTAAAAAGTTTTTTTTTATTATATATATATATATATTGAAAAAAGAAACAACGTTTGACAACTGTGGAAAACCATTTATATTAGTAAAATATTTATGATCGCACTCCGTCACCCCGCATTACGACGAGCCTCCTTCGTTGTGGTGGCCGTGCTGGTCTCCTTCCTGTTTCTTGGTGTTGCCAGCTCGAGGGAGGTCGTCGTTGGGGTGCTGGACGGCACCCATAAACTGACAGCGGAGGACATTACGACGGGATTTAGGGCGAGCGAGAAAAATTTTGTTACACGCTGTGGTGAATTTGACGCACACGGCGACAAGTTTGTCGTGATACTTGAGATGGGGAAATTCAGCGACTATCTTGTTCCCAAGGCGGGCGTTACGCTCTGTGGCCTTCTTACCAGCTCGACAACGGCGCAAAAGTATCTCCACGCCCCGCAGGATCCCCGCGAGGCTGCATGGGATGGTCATACCTTTCCCATTGCACCGTCCCTCTACACGACGGCGTTGGGCGGGTCTGCGGAAGGCTACGTCAGTGGCGGCCGGAGCACACTGTCGTTTTGGGGTGACAACGGGGGCGACACCAACCACACGGGAGGCTGCTGCGCGCAGCTGCCTAATCGGGGTGCCGCGTGGTACCAGCCGTACCGTCTGGTGTTGGCCCCAAAGGAGCCTGCGCTATATCTCGCTTGGGGTACGAAGCCAACAATTGCTGTCACCAACGCTCCGGTGGAATTTGAGATAAACGTATGGAACATGCGCAGTGAACCAGTCGGAGAAAACGTCACGTTTGACATCACGACAAACGGCAAGAGAGTTACTGTGACAAGCCCGGTGGGGCGGTACACGCATTTTGCCGACGCCCCAGAGAAGGGCAGCACCAAGTATGCCATTACGGTGGACCTCGTGTCTGGTCCTGATACGGCGAACAAGAAGCAGCTTAAAATTGAGGTTGATGTTTTGGGGAAACTCCCGTGGGATGTGAAGCCATCTGCTGGCGAAAAGATCCCGGCGCTCGTGCGCTTTGGCAAAGAGGGCACTGCGATTGGCCCTGTGGATGGGGCTGCAGCACTCTACGAAGACTGGTTTGCATCCACCATTGTGGGGGGTGAGTCTCAAATTCGTCCCGTTGCTGGTCACTTCAGCACGGCGAGACCGCACAGCCTGTCTCCAGTGCGGGGCAAGTGGGAAAACGTGACCCAGGCCGATGGTGTGTTCCGGGTGCTGGTGCCATGCAAGAGTGTGCAGTACTATGCTGTCGCCGTGTACAGTGCGGTGGATCAGCGCATCGTGGTGCAATATGAGTACAACACCGCCGCTGTGGTGTATTTCGCTGGTATACGCCGTCTTTCACATGTGTTGGATGGAGCGCACGAGGGCTCGTTTGCACTTGATGTGACACAAGGTTATCATCAGGTTCTTGTCAAGTTGTTTTCTGACAGTTCAACAGCAGTAAAGGACTCTGAGAATTGCACCGTCGTCTCGAGCTTTTCAATGCGTGTGATCGGCACTGCGGTTGGTTACACCCACGCCGTCATGCCTGACATTCCGGAGGGTGCCCATGAAATGTGGAACAACGAATATATGTTTTACCTTCTCCATTTGGGGGATAGTCAAGAAGAGTACTTGTACGGCGGCCTAGACGAGGATTTTATCAACGTGAGGACGGCCAGCCCGAGGCCAGGGAACTATATGAGCGGCAAAATTTGGAAATCATTGGTCTTTTATGGCGGCCGAATTCCAGTTTCCGCAGAAGGCCTGCCGGATGACAAGGAGGCTGCGGTGTCATATGTTGCCATCGCGCTTTACAGCGGCTACGAGGAAAAGGTGCCTTTGAGCTGGACCTTCATTATTGGCGGCAAGACAGATGTTTTCATTGACGGTGAGCGGGTCTACAGCCGCCCAAGCGACACTGGGCCCCTCACCGAGAATGCCACCACACCCATTTCGCGTGGGTGGCACCAGCTGATTGTGCGTATTGCCGCTACGAAGGGGAAGTCGTGGGGGTTAACTTTTTTTATTCGTTTTGACAACTATCGTATTGGTGGTTCTCATAGCCCCGGCACCAATCTCCCGTTTGGTGTGGCTTTCATTCGGCCCAACATGCCACTTTTGTCACTAATGGCGTTGGTCGATATGGAGCTTGAGGACGGAGCAATTCCCTTTGATCCATCAAACGCGACAGCGGTGAGTGATGAGTTCACTGACCTCCCCATTGGTGCGAGCTATATGCCTGGTTTGCTCTCGCCGCAGCGCATCTGGGCTTTGGGGCAGGAGCGCCAGTACCGATGGGCAGGGAAAGTGAGCGATGATGGCAACTGGGGGAGCCACTCTTTCGGTGGAAACTTCAATCAGTATTGGTCATTCGCTTTGTACGCCACAGAGCAGATGCAGGCGGCGGTGCGTGTCATGTTTCATGGAGGCCATACAATATGGCTGGGCGGCGCCGTGGTTGGCTCGGCACCCCTTTCTTGGAAGAAGGAGGTGCTGCACACGTTGTCGCTGGAGAAGGGGTGGAATCAGCTCATAATTAAGCTGCGAGCGAACAACTCATTTCATTTTGTCGACACGAACGATGGCACAATGACTTGGACCAAGGCAAACGCGGTGTGCACTGGGACAAGGTATATGGAGTTGTGTCCCCAGTCGGCTGTGTGCCCGCTTGGTGTGGGACGCCCGGGGGTGTTGCCAGTGGCTGGGGGATCCGCCTTTGTCCCTGTGAAAACTGCGGAGAACGAATGGGTTCAGGTGTCTGCGGAGGGCGGCAACGGCACATCGATGTGCGAGACGTGGCGAAAGGCCCACGGTGGTCAGAGTCCGAAATGGGGCGAGGCCAGCGACGACATTCCAGAGCGTCGTCTTGTGCCGTGTTGTGGCGACAACCCGCCACCGTTTATGTGGCTGAGCATCACTCCCTCCCCCGACGCAAAGGGCGAACTGGGGTACGCGTATGACATTCCTATCGTGGTTGAGGCACCCGTTGTGACGGTCGACGACCCTGCAGCTCTCACGCAAACGGTAAGAATGGCCTCTGCGACACCTAACGCCACCATTAAGTACGCCGTTAACAATGCAAGTGAGATGGTGGTGTACACTGGCCCCTTGACCATTACCGCGTCATCGACAATTGTCGCTCAAGCGTTCGCACAAAACCGTGAGAGCCGGATGACGTATTTCCTTGTTGCAATCGACAATGAACCATCTGTTGACCGTATTGCGTGTGTGGAGAATGAAAGGTGTCCTTTATTTGTCTCGGGTGTGGATCCTAACTGGAGCATTGCGGTAGTAAGTACAAAGATCCCCGGTAAAGTTATGAAGAATTACTTGTATATAGATTATGTTCTTCATCAGGAGCCGTCGTTGGACTTCTCTGGGGTTCTTAATATAGAAAATCACCGCGTCGTTGTTCCACCCTTCCGTGGCGGAACGTACAATGTCATTCCCTATCACGGCTCCGCAAAGGCCAGGATGATGTTGAACGTTTTGGTCTACAGAGAAACGAAGCTGATCCCCAGTGAGGTGCTGGGTACACAGGAAACAATGTTCCGGATTGAGGGTGGCGTGGGGGAAGGTGATGCTGCGCTGCTTCCATTCAGTTCAAGAGGGTCGCCAGCCACGTGCGATGCAGCTGCATGTATTGCGGCGCTCGACAGTAAGCGTGACCGTGTCGCGGTGTTGTCGTTCAGTGACCATGCGTACTACTTTACACAGGATCTCTACGGCTATGCGGGTGAGCTTAGTTGTCTCTGCTTGTGCCTTTCTTGCTCTAAGGGGGCGTCCAGGTGGGAGTCGCTGCGGATTGAGCCGTCCAAGGTGGTGAGCCAGACTGTTAACGTGAGTGTGTTGAGCCCTGCCCCATCGAGCGGGGAAAGCGTGGGAGCTGTACGACCTCACAGCGTGCAGAACGGTGATATCCTTGAGCTGTTTGGGCTATTTATCACCAGTTCACGTTACAGCGTCCGTTTTGTCCGTGCTGCTTCAACGGGCGGCAGCCATGTGGCTCCGCTGTGCACTGTTGATGGAGTGCAGGCCGGATCGTTAATGTGCAAAATGCAGGTGCGGGCCGGGGTCATCGGTATGTGGAACGTTTCACTCATGAACGGAGCGACGCAAGTGCCATTTGCGAAAGGTACTCGCAACGAGATTCAGGTCCTTCCGCTGGTTCCTTTGGTCGAGTCCGCAAGGGGTGTGTGTGCTGCCACAAGCGCAAAATGTGTTACAGGTGCGCAAATGACTTTTTACGGGGCGAACTTCAACCCTGTTGAGCCCTCGTATAACGATGTGATAGTGGGTGAGGCTGTGGCTGCCAACCCGATTCTCTGCAGGGTGACCATTGCCACAGAAACGGAGCTTACCTGTGTCCTCAGCATTCCACGGGATAAGGAGCATGGAACGTATTCGATCAGGGTTCGTGTGCGTGCGTCGGAAACGGAGTGGGCCGCGGAGCAAAGTGCCGGATTTCTTGTCTTGGGGGACGATGCACATGTCCCTGGGTGGAAAGCCAACGATGCGCCGCATCCCGTGCCTGCGAATGATGACAAAAGGAGCAATACAGCCCTTATCGTCTGGCTTGTCTTTGGTTCCCTCCTTCTAGTGCTGCTCGTGGTTTTTATTGTGTTGTACTTCCCGCCCATATATATGCGTAGGAGAACTGGTGAGATTGAAGGGAGTTCTAATCCCAGTGAGCTGCAATTACGTAAGACATAGGGGCATATATATATATATATATATATATGTTATTCTGATGTGTGATGTGCCACTGGGACGCGGAGTGGGCATTCACACGGGATGGTGTTGAAGACCGGGCCGATGGGTGTGTTAAGCTTCCTCGTGAGTGGTGAAGGGGATTATTGCAGTCGAGCGGTAGGTAGTATGCCTACAACATATGTCGGGAGAAAAGCAAAACTGTTTTCCAGAAGTGTAAGAAAGACGTAGTTAAT